GTTTGGTTTAACTATGAATTTCTTGATCTATTATTACAATATTTAATATAGTCTATTATTTGTAAACCTAGAAGAGTCATTCCATGTGAAATCACCTAATGTGTGTGCTGGTATAGTTCAGAAATTTATGAAATTTATATCATAGACTTCTTAAAGGTCATTGACAACAAAAATAATATTTTTTTTTTAATATTATTGTTTTTTACCAGATAGTGCATTTTTTATAATTAAAAACATGAAAAAACAGCCTATGTTCTAGAGCCTATAACTTCACATCCAAATAAGCTATCACTGTGGAATTAGCACTGTTTTACTCATATTAAATAGTACTTCAATTTTATTCTTAAGTTTATAAATTTTGAATTTTTTTGAACATCGAAATTTTGATTTAAATTTTTTAAATTTTGCAGTATTCTAATAGCAAAATTTGAAGGACAAAAAATTTTTTAATTAAAATTTTTTTTTTCTTTTCAGAAACTTTTATTAATGTTCTTTTAACCCATATCATAATTGATTCGATATATAATTTTTTTTGTATCGTTTTACGGTCTTGAACATGCAAGGTTTGCTGAAAATAGCCAACTTTATCATCTCATTACACAAAAGTGACTGAACGAATTTTTTTCAAATTTACATAGTACTTTCCTTTAGGCAAATTAAACGTCTGGTGAAAATTTTATAAAGTAGCGTTAAAATTATTTCTCCATCATAAAATTTTAATTAAAAAATTTTTTGTCCTTCAAATTTTGCTATTAAAATACTGCAAAATTTAAAAAATTTAAATCAAAATTTCGATGTTCAAAAAATTCAAAATTTATAAACTTAAGAATAAAATTGAAGTACTATTTAATATGAGTAAAACAGTGCTAATTCCACAGTGATAGCTTATTTGGATGTGAAGTTATAGGCTCTAGAACATAGGCTGTTTTTTCATGTTTTTAATTATAAAAAATGCACTATCTGGTAAAAAACAATAATAATAAAAAAAAAATATTATTTTTGTTGTCAATGACCTTTAAGAAGTTTATGATATAAATTTCATAAATTTCTGAACTATACCAGCACATACATTAGGTGATTTTACATGGAATGACCCAGAAGTAGAACACTTTTGTAATGTTTGGATTAATTGTAATTCCCCGAATTATTGTTACTAGATCAGGAAGTAAATATTTATAAACCTTTTTGAAAATGATTACTATATGAATTTTATAAAAATATAGTTTTAAAAAACTAAAAAACACGCTTTTAAAGCACATCGAACTAAAAAGTTAAAAATAATTTTTAAAATAAGCTTAAAATAATTATGAACTAAAAATACTAGTATTATTGTGAAAAAAAGCGTGGGTGCTTTATGCCATATTTTTTGTATATTGAGCGCCTTACGTTTTTTTCACAATAATTTAATTAAATTTATTAATTTATTTATTAATGCCCTTTCGGGCAAAGAGTGTACATTAGTAATATATGTTTATAAACAATTTACATAATAAGAATGAATAAAACATACAACAGAATACATAGAATATAAAAGATATTAAATTAAAATTAATATATACATATAATATATTTATACAGAATTTAGACTTAAATAATGAAGTTTAGTTTCGTTGTCATAATTGAAATCGACATCTATACTATTACATTCTCTTAACATGCGACTTAAAGGCTCGTTGAAACTGTAAGATTGAGAATGAAAAGGAATATTAAATATAGTCGTGGAACAAGCATTGAAAACTGGAACATGCCAACTTATTTTTTTGAGTATTTGAGGACAACTTATTTTATTATTTAATAATTTATATATAAATGATGTATCATTGAATTTACGTCTGGACGTAAGAGAATTCAAACCTAGTTCATGTTCTAAGTTATCAATCGAAACGTTTAATTTAAACTTAAGTGACAAGTATTTTAAGAAGTTGTGTTGAACATTATTTAAACGTTGAATCAAAATATTTTGGTAAGGGTTCCAAATTATGGATCCGTATTCAATACCTGAACGGACAAGTGCGCAATACAAAGTTTTTAGACAAATAATATTATTAAAATCACAGCACTGCCGTCTGACAAATCCCAGCATACGCATGGCTTTTGAATATATAAAATATATGTGTTTATTAAATGAGAGATCATCAGAGAGTATAATACCAAGATCTTTAATAGAAGAAACTAACTTTATTGTATGTCCATCTAAGGTATAATTATAAATTAAAGGGTTTTTACGCCTGGAAAACGATATTACAGCGCATTTATCAATATTAATTTTTAATTTATTTATGGTACATCAATTTGAAAATTTTACAAGATCTGACTGTGGTTTTTCTTGGTCATTAACAGAGTTAATCTTGATACATATTTTCAAGTCATCGGCAAACAGCGAAAATGTACAAAAGTTGAATATATGTTTAACATCGTTTATAAATAATAAGAATAGCAATGGTGACAAGTGTCCTCCTTGCGGGACACCTGAAGGTGTAGCGAAAAGAGACGAAATTTTACCTGAAACTATTACTTGTTATGTCCTTCCAGTTAGATAGGAGCTAAACCAGGAAAGTAACTTACTATTAATACCAAAAATACTAAGCTTTTTAATTAAAATTTTGTGATCAACTGAGTCGAATGCTTTACTAAGGTCTGTATAGATGGCGTCTACTTGTCCATGGTTTTCAACGACATTAAGTACCTCTGTATAATATATTAATAAATTAGTTGAAGTCGATTTTTGAGATCGAAAACCGTGCTGCTCATCTATTAATATTTTATCAAATAATTTAGAAAGTTTGAGTTTTATTAATTTTTCAAAAAGTTTAGATACTGCACTTAATTTAGATATAGGACGATAATTATTCACAGAAGCCCGATTGTTTGATTTAAAAATTGGTAGCACAAAACTTGATTTCCATAAATGTGGGAAAACGCCATCAGATAGAGACTTATTAAAAAGCAAATGTAGGGGATAAGCTAGTGCGTAACGACATTAAAAAAAACGATTGGAGGCAGCTGATCGGGACCATATGTCTTATCTACACTTAGGTTACTAAGACCCTCAATACCTCTGCTAATGAAATATTTAAAGAAGATAAATTTATATATGAATTTTGGTTTATGTTAGTTTGATCGAGAGTAGTTGTAGAATTCGGTGATGTATAAACTGAGGAAAAGTAATTGTCAAAAGCGTTACATATGTCTTCACTATTGTCGTAACGTTCATCATTAAAATTCATAACTGAGGGTAGCTTGTTATTGTTTATTTTGTTTTTTATATAGTTCCAAAAACCTCGAGGATTGGTAGATAGGTTTTTTTGTACATTAGATAAATATTGAAAACGGCATCGTTTAGAAAAGTATTTACACTTTGAGCGTAATTTAGAGAATTTCATATAAGAAGTTTGACTGGAATAATTTTTATATTCTGCATGTGCTTTGCGTTTTTCTTTTATTAACGTACGTAAATTACTATCAAACCAAGAAGGATAGTTGTATTTGAAACATTTTACTACTGGTACATATAAATTTAAAATTTCATTTATAATCGCGTAAAAGATTGTAACCGCTGTATCTACATTCATAGAAGAGAATTGATTACACCAATTAATTTTATTTAAAGCGATTGATATATTATCGAAATTAGATTTACTAAAATTGCGATAAATTTGTATTGGAATTGATGCATTATTCAATTTATAAAATTCGTACATAATTTTTAGAGGTGGGTGAGGTTTATCTACTGTGACTAAGGGACTCGAACACATTTCAATAGATAATAAATTTAAATTTGTGAAGACCAAGTCAAGTATATTGCCGTAAGAGTTACGTATACAATTATACTGCGATAGATTGTGAACGGAAAAACAATCAAAAATTATATCGACTGCTGCAGAGCGGTGACCATCTACAGTTAAACCGGTATTGTTACATGAAAACGTCGTGCCACGAAAGTTATAGTCTCCTGCGATTAAGATATCGGTATTATCTCCGAAACGTGAAAACAGCCAATTAATTGTGTTTGCGTGTGTTTCATAAACCGACAATGGACTTGTCTCTGGAATATAGCATGCGCCTAAAATAATTTTATGCGAATCGCCAAGTGTAATTAAAACAAAAACTTGTTCAACTGAATCATAGGGAATCAATATCAACTCACAGGTATATTTAATGTTCACAATTATAATAACACCTCCACCACGACTACAATTACTCGTCATATTATTCCTATCACATCTAATTATATTATAATTATGAAAGCTAAGCTCTGAATCTAATACTTCGTTATTAAGCCAGGTTTCGGTTAACACAAAAAAGTCATAATTTTCACACTGTATATTACATATAAGATTATTCAATTTATTATTTAGACTTCTAACATTTTGATAATAGCCTGATAAATTAAACTTATGATTAATTTTATTTACATTACTTTTATTCTTCCTAGACTCGTTTGCGTTCAATAGTTTTTTTTGGCTGGAGTGGGAACACCATCAACAAACTTAATGAACCAGCCGTTCTCCCCACTGTTTTTTTTTTCATCGATTTGGCGTTTAGCGTCCTTGTATTGAATACGCTGTTGATTTGTTTGATCGGTTCCGATGAAAATATGTTTTAGTGTATCAATCGTGCGTAGTTTACGCTTCGCTTTTAGAATGGATAACACTTACAGTATTTTTCGTTCATTATTGTTTTAAGTTAATTTTAAAAATTATTTTTAACTTTTTAGTTCGATGTGCTTTAAAAGCGTGTTTTTTAGTTTTTTTAAACTATATTTATTTTTGATAGTATTTTTAACCACTGTCAGATATCATTATACTTGATCCAATTATGCCACGTCACCACTGTTCCGCGAACTCATATCCTCGAATAATTTCTTTTTGTTAAAATTTTATCGAATGTAGATTTTTATTATTTTTATTTAAAAAACTTAAACTTAAATTTTTAAGGAAATAGGACACAGAATAAGGAATAGGAAAAATACTCAGAAAATTAAAATNGACACAGAATAAGGAATAGGAAAAATACACAGAAAATTAAAATGTTTTTTTAATGTCATACTTTAGTTTGTCACTTGAACATAAAAAAGGATTACAAACAAAATCTATTTGATCTTAATTAGCTAAAATTTTAGTTTGGAAGGGAGGTCAGCAAAAAAGTTTTTTTCGGCTACTTTATACTATACTCTCAGTTTAATATCTAAAATGTATGTTTATAATTTTTGAAGGGGTTCTAATAACCCATTAGGCATATATTTCAATTGTTAGAAAACCAAGGTCTTAAAACTTAGAGACTACAGTGAATATTGACACAGTAGTGCACAATTAATTTATTGTAAATTAGCTTGTTATCCGGTTGTGATTATCAGCATCCCACCATCGCACTCGTCAGTGTTGACAATAACACTATGCTCGTCTCGTCTGTCAGTCATTAGAAAGAACAGGTCGGAGGGATTCAGCACTGTGAGATACAACGGTGGCTATGTAAACCAGTCCACCTGTAATTTACATGCGCTGCACGTGCCGCCGAATTATATATCAGCGCCTAAACATTGTTCACCTGTACTTTTCTGTGTATTTTTCGATACTTGAATGATATTTTACTATTTAGAATTAAAAAAACCCATCACAAGGGGTTCGCGGGACAGTAGTGACGTGGCATATGTCGTAACACAGTAAAGAGAAATGATAAGGTAAACGAGGAAATGAGTGAAATGAGTGTAAATGTGTGTACGAAGATGAATATGAGGAGGTGGTGCCTGCTGTATAGGTATTCACGTGCGTGTTGTTGTACAGCAGTCACCGTGCTCGGCTGACACTCCGGGTTAGCTGTGGGTGTCGAAAGGCTGTTGTTATAGGAAGGGAGAATAAGAGTAACACCTAGGTATGAGGTGCAGACGAAGTGCAAGACACAAGTACTTCAAAGAGAGAACGGGGTAGCCGAGTATAAGGTGCAGACGAAGTGCAAGACACAAATACTGAGCGTACCAGATAAGGAGTATAACAAAGTACGAAGTGCAGACGAAGTGCAAGACACAATTACTTCAGAGAGAGAACGGGGTAGCCGAGTATAAGGTGCAGACGAAGTGCAAGACACAAGTACTCTGAAATGTCGAGGAAAAGAGTATATAGGTTAGAAAAGGAATAAACAAAGACTTTACTTTAAACAGTAAGCCGGACAGCGACAACCGAGTACTGAGACTGATGAATGACACAAGGCACTGGAGTCGACTGACCACGATGGTCAGGTCTATTGGGTTTTTATAATAATTACACCTATTGCCGATTTGGCAATAAATATTATTTGTTAATTCACCAGTCTCAGGCAGCGGATGTGCTGTCTGTATTTTATTAAAATAATTCTCACGATTATGAAAACGTGACACCATCACACATAATTGGATCAAGTATAATGATATCCGACAGTGATTAAAATCACTATAATAAAAAAGGGTTCGATGCAAATCTTTAGATAGTGTTTAATTTAAAAAAATGGGTGGATTATTCCAAAAGCTACATGATTTGCTATTTCCTTATTAATATTCTGATTAAGATAAAGTATGTCGAATGATAAAGGGATTATTAAAAAACATTATTTCTCATAAATAAATTGTGTTGATCCATACACTTTTGAATAAGTTATAGCATTATAAAGTTAAAAATGTAAAAAAAAAATTAGCATATGTAAAATAACATTCGGTAGCCATTTTCACCGTGAAGACAAAATAAAGTCCGAAATTTTTATTTTCATAACGAAGTACATTACATTATCTTTAATTTAAGATATATATAAAAGTGTCAGAATTTTCGGAACAGTTTCAAAAGTTAAGTGTAAAAGTAAATTTTTTGTGAAAAAGTTGTCATTTTAAATCCCCCCCCGTGGGCAGATAAAGGGTCAGATTTATAAAAATGATAGGTAAAGACATCGTGCATTTATAAAAAAAAAATTATATTGATATGTTCATTTTTGAAAAAGTTTTAAGTAAAAAAAATTGAAAAAATTTCGTAAATTAGCGATTTTTAAATTTATATTTTTTTTTGGAGATTTCCACTTTTTATGGGGAACGAGAGAAATTTTTTTCAATTTTTGAGGGTAATGTCTTCGACTAGATACGATTTGTGATCTTTTGACGTATCGTTAAAAGAAATCGGTTCGGTGAGAGCTGAGAAAAAGTAGTAACTGACACAAAAAAAACATATCATAGTAAAATTAATACTTTTTTAGCTTCCCATCGAAACTAAAAAATTTTGGCTAATTAAGATCAAATAGATTTTGTTTGTAATCCTTTTTTATGTTCAAGTGACAAACTAAAGTATGACATTAAAAAAACATTTTAATTTTCTGAGTATTTTTCCTATTCCTTATTCTGTGTCCTATTTCCTTAAAAATTTAAGTTTAAGTTTTTTAAATAAAAATAATAAAAATCTACATTCGATAAAATTTTAACAAAAAGAAATTATTCGGGGATATGACAATTTTTTTTTAATTTTAGAATGTAGGACTTAAAATTAGACTTATAAAAGACTTTTTGTGACAGGTGTGCAAAATTTTGAAGATAAAAGAGTAATATGTAGTCAGCAAATTATCAAACATTTATCAAAAAAATTTTCTATACAATAGTAACTTCAGTAGTGATTATATTATTATTTATAGTTATAGTATTAATATTAATTTATTGTGTTTAACTCGAAATAAATTATGTGATTTATGTACATGATATATATATTTTTTTCATTCCTGAACTGAAAAATATGATTATTCCTAATTATAAATGGAAACTTGAAATTTGTTTGATATTCTTTAAATGTAAATACTCATTATTTTCTTAGTATGACGTCATAGATGACACATGAAATTATTTTATTTTATTTATAAGAAAATTAAAATATTCTTATTTTTCCTCGCCTTAGTCCCAACTATTTGGGGTCGGCCACCCTTATCCTATACTTCTACTTGACACCATCTCCCATATCATCTACGCTCACATCAGCCGTTGTCATATCTCATTCAATAACATTCCTCCTTATCTTTTTTGGTCTTCCTCTACTTGTTTTTCTTTCAACATTCATTTCCATAACTGTTTTCACAACTTTATCTCTCCTCATAACATGACTAAGTCTATTTTCTTTCATGTTATCCACGATTGACGTTATACATATACTCCTCTGATATGTTCACTCCTCATCCTATTTTTTCTAGTTACACCACTCATCGGACTAAACATTCTCATCTCTACTACTCTCATTCTCTGTTCTACTTATAAACCACCCAACACTCAACTATACATCATAGCTGATCTCACTACAGTCTTATAGAACTTACTTTTTAGCCTCATTGGAATTCTTTTATCGCACAACAGGTTCATTTATATACGTTTTGTGAGCTTTTGATATATTGTAAAATGAATCAGTCGAGTAAGAACTGAAAAAAGTGGAATCAAACACAAAAAAAACAAATTTTGGTAAAATAAATACTTTTTCAGTCGTTTCTATTTTTTCAAATAGAAACGTACATATTAACTAGTTTACTTAATAGATAATGATATATTTAAGAAAATAAATGGCCAATAACAATAATTGAACCAGTACTTCAAAAGTTAGATATAAATTTAAAGTTATGACTGTATATAAACTATCGTTGATGACTGGGTGAAACTATTTTTCTACTAGTAATTTCCCAGCCGAACTTTTCTTCCCGCCAGGGTATTAAAAATATAGTTTAAAAAAACTAAAAAAACACGCTTTTAAAGCACATCGAACTAAAAAGTTAAAAATAATTTTTAAAATAAGCTTAAAACATTAATGAACGAAAAATATCGTGTATTATTGTAAAAAAAAATAAATAAATAATGTATAGCTCTAAAATTTTCGAAGATATTTTAGGAGGCGTAGAAAAGGAATCTTGAAAATAAATACATATAAATATATATATATATGTGTGTGTGTGTGTGTATTTTTATTTATTAAGTAAACTCTGCATGTACACTCAAAATAGTTTTATAAGATAATAACAAAATTACAAACTATGAAAAGAAAAATATAAATTACATAATATATTTATTATGTTATATTTTTTCCTTAAATTTTTTATGAATCAATAGTTATTAGTTAATTACACAAAGAGAAAAGTTGTATGTAACCCGCATACGGTTTTTCTTCAGGTAAATAAAATGTGTGCACTCAGTGTTTTGAGTTGAGGTTGCCATTTTAAAATCAATAGTTGATACGAATTTAAGGTATAAGGGTTCTTAGCAGAAATTTTAATTTTTCATGTAAAATAGAGCTCCACAAAGAATCATTATTGTAAAAAAAATAAATAAATAATGTATAGCTCTAAAATTTTCGAAGATATTTCAGGAGGCGTAGAAAAGGAATCTTGAAAATAAATAAATATAAATATATATATATGTGTGTGTGTGTATTTTTATTTATTAAGTAAACTCTGAATGTACACTTAAAATAGTTTTATAAGATAATAACAAAATTACAAACTATGAAAAGAAAAATATAAATTACATAATATAGTTATTAATTAATTACAGGTAAGAGAAAAATTGTATGTAGCCCGCATCCGGTTTTTATTCAGGTAAAAAGAAAATGTGCATAATCTGTGCTCCAGTTTTTCTATAGGTAAAAATAGTTGTACGTAATCTATGTAAGAATAATTTTTTTCTGCTAGTTCTTTGAATAGTGCAGAATGTTATTACCCGATCTATAGAAAAACTGTAACGCACATTTTTTACCTTACAGAAAAATCGGATACCAGTTGACAAATAAAAAAGTAAATTGAGCGCAGTTCAATCGCCGAATAGTTATTATTTAAGATATAATACATATAAATAATTAATATTAAAATTTTTCAATATTTAAAATTAATAGTATGAAGAATATTAGAATAAATAATCAATTTCTGAATATTTTAGTTACAGTTATATATGGTTTCTATGTTTAAACTGTATTCATTTAACATCAATATTTGTAGTTCACCTACAATACTACCCAATTGCTCAATTGGATCATTTTTTTGAGGAGGATACATCAATATATTATTCATGACTACTCTATAGCTGTTAATTTTGTATATAGTCCAATGATAATCACTTCTCAGATCATCATACGATGTAGTAGGTATACCATTAGTAGGATTATCTTTGAACCATTTGTTAATTAGTGAATTCATGATATTAAAAAATTGTAAGCAAAAGTCATATGATGTAATATTTTCTTGAAGTAATGCAAATATTGAATTTAAATCATCGAAATATCTATAATTATTAATCATAAAATTACAAACCTGAAATGTAACCATTCCTAAAATGTTTTTTACATGCCAATGTTCTGATGGATCTCGGTTTCTAAAAACAAACAACAACCCATAATAAGAAATTATAAATAAATACTTTATAGATCGACTCTTCACCAATCTAAGATATATTTCATCGTCTAACTCATGATATTTTGGTACAATAACTCTGTGATAGCCACGACATTTAAACAGAAGGAAATCTTCTTTGACATAATCCCAGTAAGCATCTAATGCATTGACTTCTTGTGACGTATACACTATAACAGTAAAAACAACGCACCATAAAATTTTCATTTTTATTCTTGTACTTATTTGAACAATATAAAAATTCTAAACTTATTATAATAATGAAATGATTTTAAATGTAACCTATTTTATTTTATAGAACATTTTGAATGATTTACAAAAAAATTCATTTATAAACTACTTAATCGAAAAATACAAATTCATGCTTTTTTTTATTTGTACATATCTCTTATGCAATCAATAATAAATAACTCGGTAAATTTCAAGCAAAATTAATTTTTCGCGTAAAATTATGAATTATTACACTTATATTTAAATATATATATATATTTTTTTTTTTTTTTTTTTTT